CAGCCTGTCAAGAAGATGTCCAATTTCCAATCTCCTGTTTTATCTCCAAATCCCAGCTCTGTGTAAGCTCCTCCGCTGCCCTCAAGGGTTGCTTGGTGAAGGAGCAAGAGCCTTCGCCTCTCTGTTGATGGAGTTTCCTCCGAGCCTGATAAGACCGATTGTTTTTTATCTTATTGATCTGGCCTGGTTGCGGAACACTGAGTCGAGGGAGTTACAAGGGGCTGGTGAATGTCGGAGGCTGCTTCGGGGCGGGGGCTCACCTAGTGTCTAATGTGGGTGGGGAGCTCTGCATGTCCTGACCCCTTCTGCACCCAACGGTAGCCGGTAGCCAGTAGCACAGACGCTTGGAGGGGCGATGCCGAGAGAGCTCCCCCCGCCCCCCGAAAAGGAAGTAACTGGAGGGCGAGGGTGCTGATGATCCTGGAATGTTTCAGCTCGGGCATTAGAAGCTGGTGGCTATGAGGGACTGCGGGTGGAGGGGGCACAGGGATCAGGGCCCCACGGCTGCTCTGCTCTCCTCCTGGCCCCCCCAGAAGCCCAGTGCAAACCCTACTACTCGGACTACTCCCGCTTCCGGCTCCTCGTCCACAACTTCTGCACCAGCCACTACCTGGATCTCTTCATCACGGGGGTCATTGGGCTGAACGTGGTGACCATGGCCATGGAGCACTACCAGCAGCCCCAGGTAGGAGTGGGTGGCAGCCTGTAGGCCCTGCCTCGGCTGTGGGGCTCCGGGGGTGAGACCAGCCAAGCCTGCACTGGGCACTCCGCATGGGTTCTTCCTGTGCCCCTCTCACTACCCTGGGAGGCGGGTCTCATCTTGGGTTAACAGAGGAGGACACTGAGCCTCGGAGAGGTTAGTTGACTTGACGAAGGTCACAAAGCTTGGAAGTAGAGGACCTGATTTCTTCACCCAGCACGTATGGATTGATTGAGTGCCTACCCTGTGCTGAGCTCTGCACCTGTGAGGGTAACGAGGCAGACTGGCCCTAGCCGGGGTTGCTACGTGGTTAGAGCATTAGCCCAGGCACGGAAGGGTCTCGGGTTCGATCCCCAGCCCCGGTTGGGGCATGTGTGGGAAGCAACCAATTGATGTTTCTCTGTTTCTCAAACTCTCTCTTCCACTCCCTTCCTTCCTCCCTTCCACTCTCCCTAAAAAAAATCAATAGAAAAAATATCCTTGGATGAGGATTTAAAAAATAAAATAAATATAAAAAGAAGGCAGACTAGTGCCAGCCCTTCTGCAGTATAGGTTCTAGTGAATGTCCAGCCCCCAAGCTCACCAGTAATCTTGCCCACTCCGCCAGTCAGCTTTCATCGGCTGCCCTCCAGGCCTCAGTTTTCCCATCTGTAAAATAGGAACATTGAACTGGTAGTGCACAAGGCCCCAGCCAGTTCTTGCATTCCCCGTGAATGAGGACCTACACTGTCCTACAGTAGTAAGCAGTGGCCAGCCAACATGGCGGGAACAGAGAAGAACGGTCCTCTTAGACTCACCCTGTCTCCCAGATCTGGGAGGTGTGATTGGCGGGGGGGCAGCAGGTATCATCCCTGGCCTTATCCATCATACCCCATCCCTGCCAGATCCTGGACGAGGCTCTGAAGATCTGCAACTACATCTTCACCATTATCTTCGTCTTAGAGTCAGTTTTCAAACTCGTGGCCTTTGGCTTCCGTCGGTTCTTCCAGGACAGGTAACAGGGGAAGGGGACAGGTGACAGAGGGGAAGGGGACAGGTGATAGAGAAGGGTTTGGGAGTGGGGAAGGACCTAGAGCAGCAGTTCTCAACCTGTGGGTCGCGACCCCTTTGGGGGTCGAACGACCCTTTCACAGGGGTCACCTAAGACCATCGGAAAACACATATATAATTACATATTGTTTTTGTGATTAATCCCTATGCTTCAATTATGTTCAATATGTAACAATGAAAATACATCCTGCCTATCAGATATTTACATGACGATTCATAACAGTAACAACATTACAGTGATGAAGTAGCAACGAAAATAATTTTATGGTTGGGGGTCACCACCACATGAGGAACTGTATTCAAGGGTCGCGGCATTAGGAAGGTTGAGAACCACTGACCTAGAGCCTGAAGATCTTTCTTGACTCCTGAGGTTCAGCCCAGGACCTACCAAGGGCTGGTAGTGGGTGGGTTGTGTGATATCCAGGGCCTGGGAGATGGGAGAGAAGGAAGGGAACTGGACAAGACAGGGCCTGGGGGACAGTGGCAGCTGGAAATCAATGTGGCCCAGACTGGGGCTTAAGAGCGGAGAGCGTGGAGCCAGACTGCCTGGACCAGATTTGAACCCTGGCTCCACCACTTAGAAACTGGTGACCTTGGGTAAGTTACTTAAAATCTCGGTGCCTCCATTTCCTGGTCTGTAAAATGGGAGCTAATTTATCCATATCACAGAGTTGTAAAGAGTTCCTATTTATAAAGCCCTTAAAACAGCGCTTGGCACATAGCAAACAGCATAGAAGTGCTAAATAAAACAGCAAATGAATAACAATGAAAAGCAGAGGCCCTCAAGCTAAAGTCATAGCCCTGCCTATCCCACCGACTGGACTGGCTAAGTGACCATAGACAAGTGACCTCCACTCCTTTCTGTAGCCCAAACTGCCTCCTCCTCAGCAACCCCCCCCCCACACACACACACACAGAGTCAGGGATCTGTGTCCTGTGTTTCCAGGTGGAACCAGCTGGACCTGGCCATTGTGCTGCTGTCCATCATGGGCATCACGCTGGAGGAGATCGAGGTCAACGCCTCACTGCCCATCAACCCCACCATAATCCGCATCATGAGGGTGCTGCGCATCGCCCGAGGTCAGTGGCCAGCTGCCTGCCCGCCCTCACCCTGCCTGGGGGACTGGCCCTGGGGGTGGGGGATTGCAGGGGTCAGCTCGGGCACTGGCCAGGGACTGAGTAGGTGTGGGTTCCTGTGGGTATTTCTCCCAGCCTCCGCCAAAGGGGATGGATGATCGAGGCTGGGCTGAGGGTGGCACTGGAGCCATGGCAGCCTGGCTTGCTGGGGCCAGGCACCCTACCCTCCCGGCCCTGGCCATGGCCCCACCAGCCACATGACCTGGGACTCAGAGGGGCCAGCTCACGACTTTGTCCTTTCTGCAGTGCTAAAGCTGCTGAAGATGGCTGTGGGCATGCGGGCGCTGCTGGACACAGTGATGCAGGCCCTGCCCCAGGTAGCTGGGTGGTGGGGGCAGGTGGGCAGGGTCCTCTCAGGGAGGGGGGTGCCCTCCGCAGGGGTGGGGGGCTCAGGGAAGCTGGCCGGGAGATCCGGTGGCACCTTTTCCATTTCTTTTCCTCTTTTCCAGGTGGGGAACCTGGGACTTCTCTTCATGTTGTTGTTTTTCATCTTTGCAGCTCTGGGCGTGGAGCTCTTTGGAGACCTGGGTGAGTTGGGGTGGGGAGGGTGGAGGAGCCAGGCCTGGGGCCCCGGGGCCTCCTGGACTAACTCAGCCTCTCTCCCCCTCCCGCCTCCAGAGTGTGACGAGACGCACCCCTGCGAGGGCCTGGGCCGACATGCCACCTTCCGCAACTTCGGCATGGCCTTTCTGACCCTCTTCCGGGTCTCCACGGGCGACAACTGGAATGGCATTATGAAGGTGAGAGCCGCCTGCAGTGGGTACCCCCAGGGCGGGCTCGGGCCCCAAGATGACAGCCCTACTTCTTGGGACAAGATTCCT